GGTGATCAGTATTAGCAGGACATGCAGAACAGCGGACTGAACTTTTGACGATACGTTTTCTACCTTCGTGCGGCGCAGTGCTTGAACTTCCTGTTAGCTTACGTATAGGATTCTCTGACAGTATACTACACAAAAGTCGACTTTTGAACGATTGGTACAGTTGCATTACATAATACATGCCGTAGCAACCAAATGTCATTATCAGCGCAACACGTGTATTGGGTTATTTCAGGTTCTCCTCAAAGTTCACCAGGAATACTTACATACGCGATGCTGTGGCCTATACATTCGTTCTTCAAAAAAAGCGTTTCATTTTTTTTATTTTTACCTTAACAATTATATGAGAACCGCCAAATAATCGTCATTTTACTCTTTATAAACTAGTTCCCCACTGCATTAAGTCTTCAGATAAACGGGAGGTGTTCCGCTATGTTAACATAATACCAAGGAATTAATGAAATACTACTAAGTTTAGGGGCTTTCCGGTACCAGTACGTAGGGCTTGGCCAGGCGCTACCTATTTAAATTGCCAAAAGAATTTGATTAAGAAGCCAACAGCATGTAGCTACCAGACTAATCCCCAAGTTACGGGGTGTTTCTTACGAAGTTCGATATAGACGACTAAGCCTGTGAACCGTGCGTATCCTTGGGTTTGAGTGGACTTCATGATGACGCACAGAATATTTAACCTGGGTCAATTCCCCTGCTGAGGTTACTGCTGAACATGCACGAATAATCAGTATTCGCGGCCACCGGTGCAAGTTATTGGTGCAGGACCTAAAGCAAATAGCTTAACCTCTTTGCTTCGAGAGTTCTGTGGTAAAATATTGGTACGGTGTGGCCGAAAAATTTTTCGAGACAAAATCGGTGTCAGAAGTCAAACAATCCCCAGACACCCACTTTGAGGATCTAGATTTGGGAACCAAATAGAACCCTATTAACCTATGGTGCAGTTGTAATATTCTACAAACACGCGCACGTGCTTTGTTTAACTACGACGAATCCACTCTGATATATACCTATTATTTCGCCTTTCTCCGGGCTTAATATTCGGATGGGTGATGCAGACGGATGATTATAAAGTATTAGGATTAGTCACTTCAGAGACAACAAATAGGAGTTGAAGCCGATTGCCAATTAAAAGGTGTCCATCTCAACAACGTACAGGTCGCCTAATCAAAGTTTTCTTTATGTAAAGGATCCGCACGGTAGGAAATGTTAGCAATGTGCCTTTCTGGAAGAAAAGAGTTAATGCAATTCTGACTTGTTAATAATATGACCCTTGTCATTGGGCATTGAATCGTCATTTGTTTCCTTAAAAGTTGGTATGTGTGAATGGATTCGCGAAGATGAATAAAATAAAATAAACTAATTTTGTATTCATGGAATGTATATTAAACTGGAACGTCGTCACCTTCAATTCACTATTTGAGCATTATTTATGTCGAAAGTTGGAACAAAAATATGTATAGAAAAATCGGTTGAAAAATACTCACCCAACTATTCAGCGCGGAGCACAGACGGCCGTTTTATTAGCAGTAACAAACAAGAAACACAAGCTAAATGTTTCTCGCTGCTAGCCAATAAGTGGAAGCAGTAGTAGCAAAAGCGGTATTAGTGGAGATGCAGGCAAGTCAGTGTATTTCAAAAGGTCGGCCGAAGAAACTTTGAAAGGATTGTGCCCATTCCTACGTCATGGTAAGTTCTGTGTCGGCTTTAAGTAATCGGATTCTCTTCTTGACCAGTCAGTAAAGTATCCGACACCCTTGCCAGCTAAACGCATATTGACAGAGGCAGTGATTACTTCCAGCACCTCATTAAGAGCCATTCCGAGATCTTGCATTTATTAGCAAGCATCCAACTCAAATATATGATTGTGTAAGAAGTATCGGTTGACAAGCAAGTTATCGGTAGGTACTGAAGTTGTCAGAGACGGGTTGTGACTCCTAGTGAAAAAGGACGTCACCGTTGCCAGCAGCCATGGTTAATGAGGGATGATATGCATTCAGTATTAAGTATAGGTTACCACTTTGGTTCTTTAGTAACCAAGCGCAGTCCAAAGAAAAACGGTTCGGTTTTCTTTTCACGTATCTACAAACGATGGTGGCGCATTGTGAGATTTTCACTCTTTGAATACATATTCTTTTATTACGTGCCTAGTGAAATTTATCTCATGTATAGAGTGATAAAGAAAGCAAATCGACATGTAGTAACATGGTTGCTCATAGCAGATCAACTGTTCATTATTTGACAGGCTTTAAAGCAAGGAAAATTTAGTCACTCAAGAAAAAAATTTATATTAATTCCGTGATATTAGTCATCTCAGGGTTGTCTTCTCACCCAGGCAAAGCACAGCAAAGGCACTGCTTGTAGTAGCGTACACACCTACTACTGTTCCCCTGGAGTCCTGGCTGCTAATATCACTGGTCAAAGAGTGATGGAGTTAATCCTAGTACAGTTACCTATCGGCTCTATCTATAATTAATCGAGACTTACCCTAGTCTTTGTAACATTCTGTATTAATTTTATGGTGATTAAACCATCATGTATTATTTTATGACAAGTTTCTATGTGGGTAAATTTTGCTTTTAATGCATTTTGTGAAAATCTCATCCCTCTCCTGTAAAGTGGTCATCAATTTCAACTAAAGAATGCATTTCGTTGTTTTAATCTTTAAGGATTGATCATACTTCGGACAATTAGTACCAGTTTATCCTCGTAATTTAGGTGCAAATATTTCCTTTATCCTTCTGAGTTTTACCGCATCGAGTGAACACGCGGCTGTATAAGAGCTCAATATATATTTCGAAGAAAATTCATCTCGATGTGGTAGCTTAGGAGCCGGCTACCGCTGCTACTTCACCTTCCTGGTTATTTCTCTATACGTGTGCCCCAGTCAAATACTCACGCGAATAAGTCCTGAGTTCTGAAATGCACTTTCTACTCAAGTCCACCTTTAAACCAATGATTCCGGTTTTCTTCATTGCTACACTAAAATTGGTTGAGTAAGTCGTGATTATGAATTTAAAAGCTTTCGTCCTGGTCATCTATGAGACTTTTTTTGTCACAGACTTCGAGTCCGAAGAGATTTGTTTAAGCTCCTTGGCTCCCTCATAGATAAGTGCTATCATTTCAACGATCATAATCTAAAGTTGCAAGGCTATACATGGGAGGTACACGCGTGGTTATTCAAATTGAGAGAGACGCCTCAACAGGAACAGCTGTATATTTGCACGAGAGAAAAAGCGCTAAATTTTCTCCTCATGGCCAGTGCATAGCATAACTTTGACGACGCGAAATGTATCGCTTGGTTATTAACCTAATGGAAGGAATTCTGTTTACGCTGCAGAGATTTACGTTTCCATTCACAAGGCTAGAATTCATCAGCATTTCATCCAACGCTTACTAAAACGACATGCTTGGTGTACAGTGTTTTCATGCAGTAGCAAAATTTCATAAAACCTTATTTAGTTCAACTATGAGGCATTAAAAACTAAGCTTTCAGCGCTGTTAAGCCTCGTCAGACATATGAACGCAAATGTTTGTAGCATGTATTCGCGCAAGTATTGACACTGCTTGTCCAAGAAAAACCAATTCATCATTAGCAAATATCATTTCATATTATTTAGCAGAGTTCAAGGTGCTGTTTCATATTGATAACGGTTAGCCAAATAAAATGCACCTTATTAGACGACTTAACTGATGTGGTCTACTTACCAGTTGAGTTGACTTAGCGGACCAGCAAGTTTAAGGACTGATTTGCAGCACGATATGTTCCCAAAGGCAAGTTAAACGGACGTCCACACCCCGATGACAATAGCGCGTACTTCCATATAACTTATGGCAAATCATAAACGATAAATCATGTGAATAACCTATTGAGGTTCGCTTCATCCATTATTTTCCAATGTTTCAGGCAACGTTCCGTAAACCTAACACAAAATGTGCGATAGTGTGACAAAATTTACATACACAGTTTACCTTCTATGGTGGTTTTCGTATAATTAATGGAAACGGCGTAGCCTCTCCAATTAACGTGACGTGAATTAGCTCGTGGGTTAGAAGTTTAAAATTCCCTGCTCAGTCCGTCTTTTCATTGTGTAATTCAATCCAGTCCGATTGGCGTCTCGATGTTTGTTCACGCCCAAAGTGATGTATCTGTCATCTCGACGTTTTACTTGCCAGTGGACATTTGTTAGCTTGGTTACTGCTGCCTACCTGACTTTTGTTGCACCGCTTTACATCAACCTAAATTAGTGTAGTTGTCGCTGAGTTGTTCATCTAAACGTTTAATGGTATTGGAAAACATGTTCGCTCTAAATTGATCATTATTTGCTTACATGGATTTGTCACAATATGAATATTACTAGCAACAATGCTATCGAGCTTTGGGAACGATTTACTGCAAATTGTTAAAAGTGTAATCCCGGTTTGTGAACCACCCGGGGGTTGCCTTAAAATGGTTATCGGTACTAGGTTATATAACCTAGACTAAATGGGATCGTTTTGTTGTATGCGTACAATTAGCCGGTCATAGGAGTGTGTAATAAGAATGGTCAAAAATTAAATTACAACAACATCAGCCATGAACAAGATAAGCACTAGTTACTGTAAGTTAGAGGAAAGAAAACCCTTCGAATTCTGCAAGCATAAAGATGAGACATAATTCACGACAGATTGGTCATCTTAAATCCTTGCTTGTCCAACCCTAAATGTGTCACCATGAACATGATAAATTCAATGTATATTCTTAGTAAAGCTGGTTAACTATTATCTGTTATAATTTTATCAAACATCTATTTATTTTGCTGGCAAGAAATGAGTAAAACCAGTGATCACCATTTGCTCTCTCTGTCTTGGCACCTATTTGTTCATAAATTCATCAAAAGGTCTGATTGTTTTGTTGGAAGCTGATATTCATATATTAAATTATAAGTGAAGCAGGTGCATGTTAGTTAGGAAACCTTCGAGCATGTTCCAAAGTTTCCAAAGTTACTCACCGTCCACGCTCGTTTCGCCGATAGATGATAACGTACGGATCTGATTTGCCAAACAGATCCTTTTTATCCAAACTGTGCCCCTGCATTTTCAAATATATGTTTTCCTGTAAATAAAATGCATTTTAGAACAACTAATACAAACAAACAAAATCATTAAGTTCCCACCTGTAATTTGTTCGAGTATTTTGTTGCTTTTACATACATATTCACCCAGCGTGGCAAACATTTTACGCCTGATTGAATACCAGTTTAATGAGGTTGCTATGTGCTTTTAGTTCGGAATAGTAATAAGGCACTTCAAATCATTTGACAAACTTACACGGCCCAAATGATCAGATCTGCATTAGCAAGCCAGTGGAAGAACTGTGATTAAGGAACCAATATTCCAAGTAAATAAAATAATAACTGGTATAGCCTTCGTCAGCTTAAGTCACAAACAACTGAGAAGTCTGATAAAACTATAATTATTGTGATCACTAGTACATATGCCGCTACTCTATTTGCAACATATTTTCACTGCAGGTTAGCGAATAAATGACACACGGAGCTTGCAAAAAGCAGCCAATTTATAAATAACATATCCCAAAAATACCATGCTTCCCATCCGTAAGACTATTATCAACAACAAATTAATCATAACAATTCAGTCAGATAAGAACCAACACCAAGAAAAGCACTGTACGCCCTTTCATTTTTGGGAATCGGTAGTACGCATTACATATGACCACTGTAGGGCTCAAACCCGCAACTAGACTGTGGTCAGTCTGTGGTGAGGACCACTGAGCTGCGGGGAAGAGTATGGAACATCGTGAATAAGTTACTAGATTTGGAATAGCGCAGTTCACTATTCACGGACTTGCACTGTATTACTGTGCCGAGGACTGCATAGAAGTTTCATCTTAGTTTATGCATATTTTCCCCGTCACCTTATGTAGTTTTGATGGAAATAGCAACCAGCTAGTTGCTGGAGTGATGAAATGGTATGTAAAATTTACTGAGAATCCAGGTCGGGCTAATGTGTGCCTTTTCCTTGGATGAGAGCTTTCGGATACTTCACGTGGTGCCAAAATAGAGCCGACGGTTTTCCTGTCTTCCATCAGTTGCAGTATGATTTTGTCACTTTAATGCGATGGAGTGACCTTACACCCTTATATGCCACATAATTTGTCGTGTAAATGAGTTACATTTATTTTGTACACCGAAGTTAATTTTCGATTTTTTTTGCACATGGCAGCTATATCAGCAATGTTTTCAGAATCAATCAAACCTACATGTCCGACAATCTAGAACCATTGCTTGAACACTAATGTGACGAAAATTTTCCCCGCTGGTACATTGCCTGCTGTCATAGAATGTATTTACATGTACATATATAATGAACGTTATATGAGTGGATATGAAAAGTAGAAATCAAAGATTTCCAAATGGGTGATATAAAATAGCCGAAACTATATCCGTGGTACTCAAAAGTCATACTGTAAAACTAGAATAATGCTAAATTGAAGATCTACAAATGTATCGTGGAAATATTTATTCTAGGTGTGCGGAAATCAAGAATGTGCCTTAGCTGTTTGCTTCATGGCAACATCACTGTTGGAAGTTTCGGAGCTGCATTAATATGATGTATTATGTAATTCCCCGGCCTATGAATATTGTCAATAGTGTGGTACACAATGCATGATAAGGTTATGAGCTTTGCTTTAACTAATGGGAAGGTGAGGATTTCATGCTGGTTGAACCAGCATCACTTTATATGGAAAATGGCAGACAAATGTAATGTAACGTACTTCACGGAATAAGGTCATGAATGTATGAACTATGGTAATTTTATGTTCATTTGGATATCAATCAACAGTTCAGCTGCGGTCTTGTAAAACGCTAATTCGGAGTTTAACAGAAGCGTCCTGTGATCGCCAAAGCCCGCACTGAATGCATGCTTTACATTAATTGCATTCGAGTATTCCTAATGGTATTTACGAGTAGCTAGCTCAGCGCAGTATTTGCTTTCTACTATAGGTTATGTCGTGTTTTTTCCACAGTGATGACGGATTAGTAAAATTATGTAAAAATAATAAAGCTCTGATTGCAAAGAATTGTAAGTGAACTGGTTTCTCACTCAGCAAGTGACTGCACGTGAAAACATAACATATCGAGCTAAAGTAAGTTATTGTAGATGAGATATGTGCGTCTCATATTATTATCTATAGTAGATGGTAACCGACTTCGATTTAGTTGTTAAAATAGCATGTAATGTGTGAATAGTGAACACTTGATGGCAGTAAACTTCAGACAAACTAACATAATAACCTTTAGAGTCGTACGCTATTGACTGAATGTGTGCAAAATGTACCCAGCTTTGAAAATCTGTTTTCCTATTTTCTCGTCAGATTTACTGTGCACGATTCCAAGGCATCTGAACTCTCCAAGTAGATACTGACATTTTGCTATTCACGTTATCGCACACACTCCAGATCTAGGAAGATCCGATTGACCTGGACCGGTGGGTGTAGTGACTAAAGCTGCACTTCTATTAACGTGTTTCGTTGATCTCTGACTCCTTTCATTATTGTAACATCAGTGCTCTACAGCGGAATAAATGTTTAGTTAGTGGAGAATAAACAATAGTCCGCCGTATAATGGAAAATCTGCTTGTAATTGACGCTGATACATAGACTTAGCACCCTCTATTCCCACCATTGACTGGTGGTCACATGGGGCTAGTAGCAAAGCTGACAGAAATTAGCACCTGAGTTAAAAGCCTAGCTTCGCTTTCAATTCATTAATTACAACCTGCAACTGTACATCGAAAACACAACATTTAATGGAGTATAGTCCATCTACAGTGACAAGTGCGTAGACGAAAGTGCATACAGGCTTTGTGAGATAAAATGTTAAGAAATATAGTTTGATATAAGAAACCTGACATGCCGCAACAAGTGTTTTGATAGGACATGTGCATTTTTAACCCATATCTGCAAAAGGCAGCATTCACTTTCGTTGCTTTTAGTAGTCAGCTGCATCAGCACACGTCGTTCATAAATTAGACCCTGTTCATATTTTATTAGGCAAAATACCGCAACGTCGCTTACAGCGCATATCAGTTGTACAAGTTCTGAGAAATTATATTTTTCATTTAAAACTCTGCCTTACAGCCTTCATCCTGATCGTAGCTTATCTTTTCATCAAGAAGTCAATTGAAAGCTCTTGCATTTCTATGCCTGAACATTTACGCATTATTACCTTGAAATATATGGTGGCTGACTTTAAACTATGGGACGGATTTTATCACAAAACGCAAGAGTGTATCTTCGTTCTGTGCTACTAAATTTTGCGGTTGTAGGTTTGACAGAAATGAAAGCAAAATTCCCCTGTTCTAATGGCATGAGTTTCGGCAGCTGGATTCATTAAAGACAGTTTGTTATACCTAAATAACTCTGAAGAGTGTGTAAGCCATATGAGGTATTTAATTTAAATATTTCACTCTGTCCCCAAAATGAGCGAAGCTGCCTTATATCCGGTCTTAGATTTACGTTTCGCGATCTAATATCAAAGGAGCACCATGTAGAAATAACCAACATTTGGTAATTCACTCGAACGGAAAAGCAGACTAGCACTTGGGTAGAGTCAATCAGATCAACTTAATGGCTGTTGACATAAAGGAGACCCGCATTGTGATATCACGCGTACATGATAGACGCTGCTCAGTTGTTCTGCCATATTTCCTGCCTGAAAATTAAGGATGTATGCAAATAACATTTGAAAATGCGCATGCAGGAAAGTGGAGATGGGACTTACCTTCGAGTAGGGATCCTCTCTGATGCATACTGAAAGTAGAATGTTTAACATTTTTAAACGAAATCATTACTTGTTAAGAGCAATTAAATTATTAGGTGGATATTAATTAAAGTGCGTAGGTAGTTGAGTATAATATGACACTTACGTATTACTGTAGTTATGTTTTCTGGAGCCAAGACTTCAATATATTTTTCTTGGCTTTCGTCGAATCTAATAACGTGGAATATAAATTAATGGTTGGTTTATTTGGCATTCAATATTGTACAAAACTCGATCGAGCTGACATTTCTTGTGCAAATAATGAGCAACCTTTATTAAGATGTGTGGTGTATGAATTTGACCAGTACCTTAAACAGTATACGATTTTTGGATGTTGTATAGGTTACTCACGTCAAAGGTAGTTCGAGTTGCCCGCCGCAGTGTACAACTCTTCCAATGGTACTGGTAACGTAGCCGAGCCTTATTGAGTCCTGACAAATGCATAAGTGACAAGAAAGAGATTCGCGATGAATAACTTTATTCCAAGTAACTTCACGTTGTAAAATTGGCCAGTTGCTTGAAAGATGTGATGGTATAAATAAATCAAACTTATTGGCGTTCTTCGTTCTAGCCTGTATACAGAAATCAGACGTCGGCTTAATCTCCACTTTAACATCCTGACTACTGTTAATACGAGTAAAGTTATGGGCGCGAAATCATCTAGGTAACGTTGCATGTAACAAAGTGTAGTCACGGAAGACGATATTTTAGGTTTAAGAATATGCCAAAAGATAATTTATTGTTAAAAGTCCTTACTGGGTGTGTTGAAAAACGACGGCAATGGACTAGCGCTCATTTAGGATTCACCACAATCCTTGTAATTTTTATTATTGCAATACTGACTGCAAAATTGTTTTGCTAAGCGCTTTTCTCTCATCAGGAGCAGGAAAGACTCTTAGACGGTATCCACAGTAAAGTTGTTAATATATAAAAACACAATATGGGTGGCACATAGCTGATAAACGGGCTGGTTACAAGACAGGTTGCTTGTCTACTCTGCACAATTCAGTTGATGTTAAATATCGCTCTGGACTTTGCTTGCCAATAGTTTGGGTTAACTAAACGAAGGCGTGATCGTACCGCTAGGTTATTCCGTCATTCATTCTGAGCGCATTTCCATATGCCAGTACGTTGCACAGATAAAATACTTGTGCTGAATTTGCTAGGTATAAAATTGTGATTACCCATATCATATCTGCCAGGTACATATTGTCTATCCAAGAAAGAGTAAAGTTTGTATTATAGCTGTGATGATGCAATAAAATAATTCGACAAAATTGCAACTTGATCTAAAGAACTAAATTCACTTTTGTCGGAACCACTGAAGCTCACACGTACTTTTTCTCTGACAATGTAACTTGTACGCTTTAAAATTGTGTAATATTAGTACCTTACTGCGATTAACCGTACACGATACTTTTCAGATATTGCGTGCTATATATCCAACAGCTCTATTAATGCCCCCATTGCACCGCGTATCTATAAAAATACATTCGAACCCGCTTTATTGTCCACCATCGGTACTTTTAAAACGTGGACCAAAAGTGGGATGGGTAATTAACCGATATTGCCATTCTTCCAAAAGTGAGACAACCATTGAGACGACCATTGTAAAGAAGGATAAAATACGTACTTGTAACAAAAGCGTACAAAAGACGTTTATTCAGAAGGGAATGACCTTTAAGTTAATAATTATTCCATAAAGCATCTTTCCTGGATAGGTTTAGAAGCTGGCGCTGCTGCACATTGCTGCAGAGGAATAATCCAGCTTCAGATAGACATTATTTTGCGTCACTACTCAAGTCACTTTGCATTGATAAATTCCACTTTGGACAAGTGTTCTTTGCCTAGCCAATGTAAACGTCCTTAGCTATACAGATCCTTCATGGTTCTTTGATCTTAAATGCGACAGGCGCTGATCGCTGTTATTCACGGAGACATCCGGCAGGTCATCCTCTGCTTCAATGCCTTTCTTCCGTTCTAGTCGGTTCTCAAGAATTTTACTGATGATTTCACCTCCAATAGTTGTCAGATCTGTGGTACATTCCCCATGGTTGTCAACGGCGAATAAATCTTCTGATTTGACGAATGGAATTGTGCAAGCGCTGATCTCTTCCGCCGCCATCATCCCAAAGTGCACCGCATGCAATTCGACTGAAAACAGCATGTGGAAAGCAGGCATTCATTGTTGAACGGGTAACCAGTCCCCAACTTTTAGAAACGAACTGAATTGCATCGAGCATAGAAATCTTGGTTCTGGCATGCACCTCAAAAAAGTAGACAGATAACACGTTGTTTTCGATGAGTTAAAGAAGTCGGTCCACAATTTGTTTCCTATAAGGGATTTTCAGATTCATAATCACACCTTTGTCCATACGTTGAAGTAAGCTGGTCGTGTTTGCGGTAAACGTTTTCATTTGCATGTTTTCCAGGCCTTTTGCCTGTAGATGCGCTGTACACTTATCCAAAAGCGACATAATTTTTCGCTTACTTTGGCTTAGCTCTTGTCCCGTTCGAGGACTTGCACGATGAAAAGTTCTTTCCTCACTGGAGGTGTGTTCACGTTCACGCCATTACATTTGATGGTTTCTTCGACTTTTCAACTGAAAGCAGTTTTCCATTATCCGTATCTGACATACGCGCAGCACAGGACAGTGATCTTAGCCATGGCTTCTTTGATCCGCTGAGCTTTTCGGCAAAAATACAAAGATACCTCTGGAGTTATTCGGTAAAATAAGCCTGGTGTGTCCGCCTTGTACGCGTTGTCATCATCAAATACGTTTAAAAGTGCAGGCAATCAATGTTTCAGCCAATTGCCAAAGACTGCTCTATCCGCGGAAATCTTTTGCCAACGCGCACTCTGATACACACTTTGATTTCTATTCTTCCATCATTACAACTATTCTTCTGTAGCATCCATGGATTTTCAAGTCCTTTCTCGAAGCATTCTGTCTATTTCTTCAGAAGCAGGCAAGTAACCATTTGGCTGTGCTCACAAAAGGGTATCATCCATTTTTTCAGTGCAGTTTCAACTTCATCTCTTCCTCCTCGCTTCAATTTATAAGAATTCGTGATGATATACGACAAGTTCTGCCGCAATTCCTTTAGGGTACGACTCGAAATGCGTTCATCACGCGACAAATTGGCCTGCGAGGCATCTCATGGTTAAGTTTTACTTTTGTCAAAAACGTCCAAGTTTTTCTTCAAGAACAAATCCTTTCTGTTACTATTCATACTTGTGTGTAAGCATTAAATCACTGACAAATGTGGAGCGGAAATATTAGCCGACTTCGCTAATTTCTGGAGTTTTGAATAGGTCTGAATGCTTGTTGACAGCCGCCAGAAAATATAGCTTGCTAACGTACTGAAGGACTTAGGTAACCATTAGTTTTATGTCAAAAACGCCGCCGACAACCTCCTTCTGCTTGATTCAAAAGGGCTGGCTAGCCGTGGAGTGATAAAGATAGTAGAAACTTGGGAATAAAATGGAGAAAGTGACAAGAGTACAGCCCATGCATCTGGGCAATCAGCACAGAAACGAATCAAGTAATGTGCAGCTAGACGATGAAAATTCAGCATATGAATGAGAAAAATATATTTCAATAACCAGGCATTAGCGCGCAGAATGCTATAAACATAGTAGGGAACAAAGCGGGATCGACCGAAGTAGGAACTAGACTCACATTCATTGCATTCAAGTAGATTAAATTAGGAAATTATACACTCTTATAATCGCAGTCAATAATCAGGATACAGAAAAAGGTAAACACTACACAAAGTTCACATTGCGAATACCGATGTACGGTTGGGTTGCAAAAAGCAGCCTCTAATATGACTACGGTTCACTTTGAGGTAAACCTCGTTCATTCCGATCGCGATGCTATTAGCCGAAAGAAAATATTGGGTGCTGTTCCCCCCAGCACTGGCATACAAAGACCGCAGTCGCGCCCTTGGTTGTACGTATCAGAAGGCAATTTCCTAAATTAATTTGAAACTCAGATACAAGTATTTCACGGCTGACGCCTTGGAAACTACCATTAGGCAAATTGTGAGAAAAGATTGACAAAGCAATACAAAATTCAGAGGGAATAGCGCTTGTGTCCTAACCAAATAAATCCTTAAAATCTTCAGCCAATCGGATTGAGAGGACCGTATCCAAAATGCAATTATTTGGGTTTTGCTCCTCCCAGTACTCGCAGACCACGACCGCAGATTCTTCCTCGTTTGGACCACAATTTACCATAGCCTGATTTTAGTGAAACTCAGAGGCTGTTAGTTTACGGCTTACCCCCTAAACATAACGCTACAGGGATCCGCAAACAAAGCTTGGCAAACGGAAAGGAAATCAAAGTCGAATTTAGTGAACACGTTTATAGGGTGGTTTTGCGACACGCAACCTCTATTTAAATCTTGGTTCAGTGAGATAAACCGCAGTCATTCCGATGGTGAAAACGGTATCCGAAAGGAAAATATTTCGGTGTTGATCCTCCCAACGCTGGCAAACCACGACTTTGGATTCGTCTTGGATTAAAATTAACAGGTGACAATCCTCCGAGCAGCGTTGGAAACAGATCCTAGTTGTTCTCGGCTGACACCATGAATACTAAGATATTGAGTTTTGCGACCAACGACTACCATAGTGGAAAGGAATTCAAAGTTTTATTTAGGGAACCCGCTGTATGGTTAGTTTACGACCCGCAACATTTATTGGGACTTCTGCTCAATTTGAGGTAAACAGTGATCATTTCGATCGCGATGAACATATTCGAAATGGAAATATTGGGAGGTCGTTCCAACAACACTGGTAAAACACGACCGCCGTTGCGCCCATGATTTATGTATCACACAGCAATTTCCTGAGTAAATTTGAAACTAAAATCCGAGTAGTTCAGGGTTGACGCCCTGAACCCTACCGTATTGAGATTTGCGACAGAAGATTGAAAAAGCGATATGAAATTCAATGTTGAATATAGGGAAGGCACCTTGTGCTCTTGTTGTGACAAAGCAACTCTATAGGATGCTCAGTCCATCCGATCAAGAAGGACGTATCCGGAATGGAAATATTTGTGTTTTGCTCCTCCTAACACTGGCAAACCACCACCTCGGTTTAATTTTGAGTTGCACCTTGGTCATCCCGATCGCGTGAAACATATCCGCAAACGAACATTGGCACACCACGACGGCGGTTTCGTAATGATTGGAAGCGTCAAGCGCAATGGCAAGAGCTTGTTTGAACTCAGCGATTTTTACGTTCTGGATGACGCCAAGAAATTTGCGCAACGAATAGTTGCAAACAACGCTTTGCAAGCGAAAGTTGATTCAAAGTTAAATTGTAGAACCTACTTTGCCGTTGAGTTTGCGAAACGCAATCTGTATTGTGACCTCGTCTCACTTTGAGGTAAACATTTGTTATGCCGATCGCGAGGACGGT